AGTTCGTCTTAAAGGGGACTGGGGGGGTTATATAGTGACAGAAATTGGAAGAACAAATATGGAAAATAATCAATTAAACACAAAATAGGGAAAGAAAATCAGTCAAATTTAAGCAGGAACAAGGAAAGTCACATGCATAGCCTATTCCGAGTAGAAATAGGTAAAAAATCGGACAAACCCTAATTGGCAAATGGTCAAAAGATTTAGCCAAGAATCTCGATGAATCGAACCCACACGATCCTATTGAGAGTGTATACAAACGGATTTTCGTCTGAATCTTGTAGGTTGAGGATGATTACACTTGATTCGGAGAGGCAGTACTTGCTAAAATCGGGCAAGTACTAAGTAACACCACGAACGCGTGAATGGTAACGAGATAATACAAATAAGGTAAGCAGATCGTGGAAAGAATTCATGTTTCAGACGGATTTGGAGAGTTTTAGGAAGGCGGCTAGGGTTTTGCGGAGAGGAGAGGAGAGTATACATGGGCGGCATCTCAGGGGTAATGGGGGTTAGGGTTTCTTGTTGGATAATTAAAAAGGGAGGGATTGATTGTGGGCCGTTGATCTTAGAGATCAACGATCAGGATTTTGAAGAAGGATTGGGGCGTGTTAATTAAACAGGTATGGGTGGTGGGTTGCTGGTGTTGGGCTGGGGGTTATTGGGCTAGAATATTGGGCCTTTTGGTCCGAAAATTAGTTTAAAAATTGGGCCAGCTCTTTTAAATAGAAATTAAAAGGGAAATAATTTAATAAAATATCTAAATAAATATTAAAAATTCTACTTATGCAAATTAATACTTTAAACAATGATAGAAGACTATAAAAATGTAAAAAAATATTTTGACCCTAAATGAAATGTCAATTGCAATAAGAATGCAAAATATAGGCTATTATTGTAAATTTATGTGAATAGCCTAAAAATATAATTGTAATTATATAAAAATAAAGTAAAAATATTTCAAAAAATGTATTAGGGATGCAAATAATAATTTTAAGTGATTAAGTCATCACAAATAATTTAAAAGGATAATTACTGAATTTTATGTAAATTAATGCAAGAAAATTAATTTAAAAGCTCTAAAATTATGGAAAATTATAAGAAGTGCTTGTGTAAATCTTGTAAATTAAATAATAATATGAAAATTATATTTTGAAAATATATATATTATTTAGAAAATATATGAGGGCAAAATTTGGTATCAACAAGTACGACTTCATGGTGTCCCTATATCTATTATCTCGGATATAGGTGCTCAGTTTACAGCTAATTTCTGGAGGTCCTTTCAAAAAGGATTGGGGACTCAAGTAAGTCTTAGTACAGCATGTCATCCCCAGACAGACGAACAGGCTGAGCGTACTATTCAGACACTTGAGGATATGTTACGGGGGGGTTGTGTGATAGACTTCAAGGGAAGTTGGGATAATCATCTGCCGCTTATTGAGTTCACGTGTAATAATAGCTATCATTCTAGTATTCAGATGGCTCCATACGAAGCTCTTTACGGACGGAAGTGTAGGTCACCTATAGGATGGTTCGATGTTGGGAAAACTAAGTTAGTAGGACCAGAGTTGGTACAACAGACAATCGAGAAGATTAAGCTTATAAAGGAAAGGCTATTTAGCAGCTCAAAGCCGTCAGAAGTCTTATGCGGATAATCGACGACGAGACTTGGAGTTTCAGGTTGACGATTGGGTATTCGTAAAGGTATCACCGATGAAAGGCATTATGAGGTTTGGTAAGAAAGGAAAACTTAGCCCTTGGTACATTGGACCATATAAGATCATACGTAAGGTAGGCCAGGTAGCATATGAGTTAGACTTTCCTTCTGACTTGGAGTCTGTACATCCAGCCTTTCATGTGTCTATGCTTTGTAAATGTATTGGAGATCCTTCTAGAGTCGTGTCAGTTGATGATGTTCAGGTCACAGAGCAGCTATCATATGAGGAAACTCCCATTACTATACTAGATAGACAGGTTCGGAGATTGAGGACTAAAGACGTAGCTTCGGTGAAAGTACTTTGGAGAAACAAAAATGTAGAAGAAATGACTTGGAAAGCTGAAGAGGACATGAAATCTAGGTATCCTAACTTGTTTCCTCTTCCATAGGAGGATCCGACTGAGACATCATAGCCTTAAGGTACGAGTATGGATTCTTGTGTTAATTATTTTCATTGGTCATGTGAGGCCATTTTCGTGATTGATGATTGTGGCAATATGTGGCATTGAATTATTGAGTTTTCTATAGGAAGGGCTGATAGTAATACTGTTACAAAGGCGACTCTGCGAAAATTTATATAGATCCCGGGGAGTTAAACATTCGAGGACGAATGTATCTAAGGGGGGAAGGATGTTACATTTCGCGTTTTCGTACGTTAAAGTTTCGTCGTAAGTTAATCGATGTAGACTCGGGAATGAGATTATTTTTTAGGTTATAAGCATTTATGCTATTTATAACAGGTGATAAGTAAGTGCCGTGAAGATTATAGGGTAAACGAATCAAAGAAAATGAGTTTCGTTGAAGGTTGTCAATTTGGGATAAAATACGGTCTGAGCTATAATACCCGGTATTTATGTACTAGTGTCATACAAGGTACCACATGACCATGATAGTAAGGTGTATAAAGTATGTTAAAAGTGAGTAGTATTTTAAGTAATTTGAGATAATTTTTAATTATGTGGTTAATTAGGTAATTATTAATTTTTAGTGGGAGATTAACTAAGTAATTAGAATATTTGGATAAGCTTAATAAGCCTCCCAAGTGGCAGCAAATGGGGTCTTACTCAAAGCCCAATTAATGACTCTTAATTCATGTAACTTGATGGCACATTTAGAGAATTTTGTGGCTAAGTCATCATATAAGTAGGGTCCACACCCACTAGGATAAAAGACCTCTCTAATTCACAAAATGAAGATGTTTATATCTACAATGTCATGGAGGAAAGCTTCAGCAAATTCATACGAGATTATATTACATAATAGCAACGGGATTTGCAATTCTAAGGGAGCCTGGTTCCTTTCTCAAGAATATCATATGAATTTTTTCCTACTTCGATCTCATTGTTGCGTGACGTGTGTTAGAGGGATTGTCAAGAGAATCAGTTCAGGTATGTTAAGGTTATCCCTTCTTTCCTTTTGGCACGATCCATACGATACAAACGAAACGAGTAAACGCACAACTTTCATAAATGCCTCTATTCATAGAAGCACCAGGGGTGCCTATGTTCTTGATTTCCCATGTGTCTTATTATATCTTTTGTTCATAGGTCTCAGAAAAATACGTAGTTGATAAAGTTTATCTAAAGACATATTAATCTTATGACATTCCAAGAAATCTTATTAACGTACTTCTTATGCATTTCATTCATTTGTACATGTACATTGACCCATGACCAGATGGAGTTATATACGCATATATTATATGTATATGGGATATAGAAAAAGGTTACGACGTTATATACGCACCACCACCTGATCAGTTGGTATACGTTGATGATTTCGCCAACAGAGGCCAAGATGATATGATAGGATGCCCTCAGAGGCTTGATGATGTTATGTATACCTATACATATGTATGATACAATATTTATACGCATATGCATGACATTATAAATGTTTCAGGATTCACAAAGTTATTTAGACTTACAGGTGGAATTCTTTACTCCATGTTTCCTTTATGTCTTTTATGTACTGATTTTCATGCCTTACATACTCAGTACATCATTCCTACTGACGCCCCTATTTCCCGGGGCCTGCGTTTCATGCCCACAGGTGCAGGTAGACAGGCTGACGGTCCCCCATCTTAGGATCCTTGCTCAGGGAAACTTGGTGTGCTCCACTTGATCCGGAGTTGTTATTAGTTTTGGGTACGCTATTTTTGTATGTAGATATGGGTACGACGGGGCCCAGTCCCATCCTTTATATAGTTGTACACTCTATTAGAGGTCTGTAGATAGTCATGTATAGTTGTCTATAGCAGCCTTGTCGGCTCGCCCTACCGTATTCCGCATGTATATGTATGTACGTTTTTTGGATATATTTTCCTCACGTATGTTATTCACGTGATTCAGCAGTTTATTAACAGATGTTATTCATGACCTACCCTTAATTCATGTTTATATCTTGACGCATGTTTAGGGGTGTTCGCAGGTAGGACTCAGGCACTCGTCATAGCCCATCGATTTGGGTCGTGACACTGAGGCAGGTGCGTCTGGCAGTCATCCCGGCGCGCACCCCTAATACTCCGAGACTTAGTGGTGAGCTACTTTCCGAGTCCGTTCTGCAGCACCCGAAGTCTCTCTTTTGTATTTACTTTTCTGTCTACTCTATTTCAGACAGTAGTTTAGTGTTTTTTGTATATTCTACTAGTAGCTCATACACTTGTGACACCAGGTCTTGGAATTATACTAGTAGACATTTGATGGTTTTTTGAGAATTTATTTCACCACACCTGTTCTTATATTTGTTTATACTTTATTTTATTAAAATTTCCACCCTTAATTACTTACTTAATAGATAAAAATCAACTATTTTGAAATTGTTAAAAAGAACAAATACATGGTTAGTTCACCATTGGCTTGGCTTGCGGCGACGTTGGGCGTCATCACGGCCTGTATGAGAAATTGGGTCGTGACACCACGACTATTGCTTAACATATAAAACTACTCCAAATATAGTAATATAAGTCACGGACAACTCTAATTTGCATTTCCCAGCAGATTTTTTCCCCTTCCAATTATTGATTTGATACACAAGAATATCAATTAATAAATTCTTTCAATGTTATTAAAAAATAGAATCCAACAAATAGATTCAATAAAAGTGTCAAGTGGCTTGTTGTTATTACGCCACTTTAGCTTAAGCTTCACTACCTTCATTTTTAATATAATATAAGACTATTGTTTGATATTGGAAATTTACTAACTTGCCCTAAATAGTATAGTAGTAGTACTAGTTTCAAAATAAATTGAACCAAGTTAGGTTGGTGTAAAACACATTCTAAATCTTGCCTTCTATTCTCACACTGCACAAACTACCAACCAAAATACACTGTAATTTTTTAATTCTCATTAAAACTGTCGAAATCACATACATAAATTTCCCTATGTTATCAAACTTAGTCAAAAAAAAAAAATTATGCGTGTGATAAAAGCCAAGCAAATTCCTATGTTATCTTCTTTGAACTGTAATCTCAAGGCCGACTGCTATCTTCTTGACCTAGTAGGTAAATGCTATTTTCAGTTCCATTACAATCATATGTGAATCTTTGATTATTTCGATTTCAATCATAGTGTAGATTGGTTCTTTCCCAGAATCTGAAACACATCAAGATTTATTCTTTTCTGTTCTTTTACTTTAATGTTAGATGATTGGAGCTTCAATCAGGGGAATTTTTAGGTACTCCAACACATTGTACCTTTTTTTTTTTGTGATATTAAGATGGGGTTTTGGGGTTCGCTCAAAGTCTTTAATCACTATAGTGATTGAGTTATGGGAGCTCAAGGGATGTAGGGAAATGGGAAAAAAACAGTAAGGGAAAGATTGAGTCACAAATGAAGTGAAATTAGGAGAAAAGTTTAGCAAATTCACTTCATTGATGGAGCAATATCTTTAAAACTATAAAGAGTATAGGAAAGATCAAGAACTAGTGGGGATGGGGATGCTTATAATATGTCTCTAAGCTCTTGTAGGAATGGAAAATGGTTGTAGAAACTCAGGGTATACACACTCGCATGTCTATTTCCTTGGCATGTATCATATTCTTGCTCTGAGGTTTACTTCTTTGGCATTCATCACACTCCTGCACTTGCACCATCTTATTGTTTAGGCTAATTCAAAACTGGCTTTAGTTTCTATTGAATTGATTTTCTTTTTTGATTTAACCATCCAGTATCCAGTATCCGGAATCCACTGGCCCAGCTAATTCGGATTTCGCCCCGAGTAAGGCCCAATTAAAGGGGAAACATTCCCTACTAGTTTTTTCCATTCTTAGGTATCGAATTCGAGACCTTTGGTTAAGGGTTAAGGGGTCCATCCATCCTCCACACTCCATAGTGGTCCTATTGAGTTTGAGTGCGCACCAACAACTGAAGCATGCATGAATTCTATAAGCTGTTTCCTGTGTTTCCTGCGTTTCCTGTGTTTCCTGCGTTTCCTGCGTTTGCCTGGCATTGCCACCCATGTCTTTCCTTGATATTTGAGCTCCCTATCCTGAGGAGTTACATGAGAAATAGGATGTTGATTAATGCTTGGGTTGTAATACCCTTGATTGTGTCATCATCTAGCCATAGTCTTCTATGACTTCCGTATCCATGTTGGTTGCCACTTGTTTATAGCGTTGCAAGTAGAGTGTTCTACAACCCTTACTGATTGTGCATCAACTGTATCATTCTCATCTGTTTTTCCATATTGGATCTCATAGCTTAGTTCCAATAGTTCGGCCAACCCTTCACGTTGAGATAATGTTTGCGTCCTTAGATACTTTAAGCTGAAATGATCAATCTTGATGATAAAATGAAACAGGTGTACATGTTGTCTACATTTTATTACAGCTAGTGAGAGGTCTATGAGCTCTTCTCCATAGGTCGGGAGACCTTGATGTTTGATGCTAAGTGCTTGACAAGGAAATGTAATAGGTTTCCCTTCTTGCATCACCACATTATGCGTCCTTTTACTTTTTGTTATGCACTTTTACAATAGAGGTTTTGGTAAAATCCGGAGTTGTGCCTATATCATGGCCTTTTTGAGGTCTAGGAATACAGTGGCGGCTTCATGGGATCCGTGCAGAAACATCCCTTCTTCAGTAGGAACAGTAAGGGGCCTGCTGACCAGTCCATAACTTCAATTAAGTCTTCTGTAATAGAATATGAGGTCAAGGAATTCGATCAGCTCCTTGATTGAGAGGGCAATGGCCAATTGTGCTTTCTTTTCTCCACTTCTGCTAACTTCTTTCAAGTAGCTACTTGCTTGGCTTCAAAGCCTTACCGTTGCTTCACTACGGTCAGTTTCACTTCTTCCCAAAGTTAATATATGTCCCAACTCCCAAGTGTCCCGTGGACTTCTTTGGCGGCAAGTGATGCCCCTTAGCCACTCTAGCACAATCTCAAGTGCCGAATGATCTGCAAAGGAGAAGCTGCAGGCTACAACATCCAGGAAACATTTCTCTCATACTTTCTAGAGAGATTGTTGTGACTCTGCCATGTAATAACACTTTTAATAAGCTAGAAGTGCTTGATGAGGCGATCAGAGATTCTGCTGCTCTGAGGTACTGATACGTTGAATTCATTATGGACTGAGGTTTCACAAGAAAAAAAAAAGGGCATAGTTTGTATGGTAGGATTATTCAACTTGTTGTTTCAGTCTGCTATGTGGTTTGATGTTTTTAGCTTTGAATTGGAAGTTTCTAAATGTGATTTTTGAGCTTGGCATCAAGGTAGGCCAACTGTGAAATTTCGTTTTGCTGTAACGTGTTTAAAAGTCAGTTCACTGATTATATTGCTAATGTATTGGTTAACCTCTTTGACACAATTTTGTACAATGTTTGGCTGAGAAGAGATGTCGGCCTTTTTTATTCAGAAGAGTGTTATGTAAAATGCTAGCAATTTACTTTATGATTCTCTTTATTCTAGAGCTAACGATTCAAATTGCATATTTCAAGTTGACGCCAGCCAACAGTAGTGCACCACAATCATTATTTGCTGATAAAAATAGATGCAAGCTTGGTGGTTATGACTGCACTCTTTGAAGGTCTTCCCAATGCTGTTGCCCTTAGGTGCATTGCACGGGTTCCGTTCCACCTTCATCCAAAGTTAGAGCTTGTTTCCCATTCCTGGAGAGCTGCCATTAGAAGTGCCGAACTATTTAAAGCGAGAAAGGAGGTCAACTCGTCTGAAGAGTTTTTATGTGTATTTGCATTTGAACCTGAAAACTTATCACAGCTTTATGATCCTATGCATGACCGTTGGATTACTCTCCCTATTCTCCCCTCAAACATCAGTCATCTTGCTCGCTTCAGTGTCGCTTCTACTGCTGGAAAGCTGTTTGTTTTAGGCGGTGGCAGTGATGCTGTGGATCCATTGACAGGTGACCAAGATGGGATTTTCGCGACTGATGAGGTCTGGTCATATGACCCTGTAACACGTGTATGGAATCGGCGTGCATCTATGATTTTCCCTCGTGCCATGTTTGCTTGTTGCGTGTTGGAGGGGAAGATAATTGTTGCAGGGGGTTTTACTAACTACAGGAAATCAATATGTAACGCGGAAATCTATGATCCAGAAAAGGATGTCTGGGTTCAATTACCCGATCTCCATCACGCGCACAATTCCGCATGCTCAGGAGTGGTTGTTGGCGGTAAAGTTCATGTCTTGCATAAAGGTTTATCGACTATTCAGGTTTTGGAAAATGTCAAGCAAGGTTGGACCGTTCACGAGTATTCTTGGCTCCAGGGTCCAATGACTGTCGTTAGGGAAAAGCTTTATGTTATGAGCAATTGGTTCATTTACAAGCAGGAAAAAGAAGTAAGAGAGATGGTAGTTTCAGCATCTGAGTTTCGTAGAAGAATTGGGTTTGCTATGATAGGGCTTGGAGATGATATTTATATAGTTGGAGGGGTTAATGGACCGGAGCATTGGAATTGTAACATCAAAGTGTTGTCTGATGTTGATGTATTGACGCTTGGAAATGAGAGGTTGGTGTGGCGTAAGGTTGCTCCAATGACAAGGTGCAGAGGGACAATCCTTGCCTGCACACAGCTGAGAATTTAGGACATGCATAATGTGGATGAAATTCAATGCAGTGTTTTAGGGTAAGTGCTACAATGAACAATTGACAATAAAACGGCTACTAGTTGTAGCACACAGCGTACTGGTGAATAGGAAAAACGAATTAAGATTACTAATGACGGATGGAAGTTAGAGGGTGAACGTGTTAGGTGCCTTCTCTCCTTCGCCGTAGACTGAATATGATGGGAATCTTATCTGAAACGACCTTTGTGAGCTGTCTCGGCTTAGCTATTAGCTGTCTAAAAGCTATGGGAAATAAAATCCCATGCCAGAAACGCGGAAGAAACGAGATGTTCAGCTTTCTTGCACCCTGCTTGCCTAATGTGTAAATCCTATTGCTTTCAGCTGCTGAGTTCTTAGAGGAATGAAGTTCAGTTCGTACTTTGAGAACTATGAGATTTTAACATCTATTTGCATTTGCATTAATGAGCACTATAGTGCTAAATACTTGGTTACTTCAGTCCTGCTTTCGTTGCTTAAGGGGCATTATTTTGTCGACTGGGCGTAGTTGTTATTGTTTTTGTTGTCAATCTTCAGTCTATTGGTGTATATCTCGGTTAGTTTCTCATTATAGCAGTTAAAGTGCGTATTCTGTTGCGTCCCAAATTCCACTTGGTGCGGTTAAAGATTGACCCACACTCGCTCAAAAATGAGTTTAACCTGTCTACGTCTGCATTGTTACACAATTATGAGTCATATATAAGATTGAAGTTGTAGCGGCCACAACTTATAATCAGTGTTTTAAAAGGCGTTTTCGGGGCAAGTCCTGGGGGCGAGGCGCACCGAAAATGCCCTGAGGCGATGGTGCGGAGCGAAAGTCTCAAGAGGCATACACTCGGGACGTTCAGGGCGTACGTCTGGGCGTTAAGGCGAGTTTTTGCAGTAAGGCATAAGCCCAAGTAGGAATGGCAGACGGTGTGGGGCGATGCGGGTGCAGGGCGGTTTCTGTCTTAACTCGCAAAATTTCAACCCGCCTCGCCCCGCCCCGCATAGCACTTAAACCAGCGTTCACCCGTCCCACACTCACACCCGCGTCCACTTGCCCCGCCACAACAGATTTTTTTAAAAAAAAAAATTGTCTCTCCCTTTTCTTTTGGCCAGTAGTTGCAATCATAATTCATAGTGCCAAAACTTGATTTTCTTCATCTATGTCTTGTTTTATTTAAACAAATTTCACTTTAAACATATAATGCTAGACGAAAAATTAAGTTTTTCATATGTGTGAACAGATTTCAATCAAACAAAGGGATTCTCTGTTTGACCGAAAATCAGTCCTATTAATTACCGAAATTAGTCCTATTAATACTCTTCTTTACCAAAACGTTTGACAACCCATTTAATTACATTCAATACACATTTCTCTTCTACATTAATGTCACAACCAAAACACATGTACGAATCCTCCAAAGGAAAGTAGCACTATATAGTTAGAAAAATATAATTAGATTAATGAACATTATAAATATTTTGTGCATCTGTAAACTTAAAGTTATTTCCATAAAAATGTGTTTGTTCCAATATCATAATAGTATATTTATAAACATATATGTTATGTTATTTGTACATAATATACATAAAAAAAAAATAATATATCACATATACGTAGTATATATTTCGCATGTCAAATATACTTAAACTATATATAGATCTCATCAAATGTATATAATTTATACATTAAATACACATAATACGTATATCGAATATGTATATTTGTTTATACGTCATATATACAAAATTATACATTGAATACACATAAAATGATTTCGGTATAAGCAAATATACATAATATATTCACTATATATATATATATATATATATATATATATATACACACACCTTCGAACACAGAATAAAAATGTGAATTTATTTAGACTGTTTGCATAATGAAAAATGAAAATTCTAGCAACAATATGTTAGGGGAACTTTTATAGATATGGTAAGTTTAGATTAGTGACGAGAGAGAAATAGGATAAATTAATATGGTTCAAAATTAATTCCTTAAATTGTGGATTATGTTTAAAAGTTTGAAGAATACTAAACGTATATGTTCTTTAAAATTTTTGCAGGTTTCATGGGTTAAACAAATAGATTCTGAAAACACACATCTCAAGGGGAACCCAACAGTCAAAGAAGATTGGACGTTTNATTAATCTTTTTTAAAAAAAAACTAGAACCCGCCCCGCCCCGCCCCGTAACTATACCGTCTCATTGTCATCCCTAAGCTCAAGTGACTTTTTCAAATTAAAATAAAATTTGTTGAATAAGTCCTTAGTATTATACCCAAAATCTCAAAAGTCAGCTTGTAATAATCAAAAGTTTTAAAAAGAACTGAAATATCAAATTTAAAAGTCAAACCTTTTTTTATTGCTAGAAACCCTAATTTATGGTCTTTCTAATTCTTTATCTTGTCTGCTAGTCTGTTAATATCTCCCAAAAGCAATGAACAATTAATTTTTTAAAATATTTTTTTTGCAAATCCAAAGAAAACTCAATTTTCCTCCATAGCAACAAGTTCAAAGTTCAAATTACAGGTTAATCATCCTTTTTGGTCCTTATGTAGAAAAATTTATTCTTTTTAACTCAAGTTGCTTGTGCTAGTAAGTAGCGTACAAGGATTATTTTGACTAGTTATTAGTGGGATTGAGCAGATATATATATATATATATATATAGTTTTTTTTTATTTTTATATAATTTTACCTATTTAAAAATATTTAATATTTTATATTATTTTATTAAATATTAAAGATTAAATACCCATGAGGCTATTGCCCCGTGCCTCGGGGCTTACGCCTCGATGAGGCATATATAAAACGTCTCGCCTTCCGCCCACGCCTTTTAAACACTACTTATGATAATGCAATTAAGTCATGAATACAATTGTGCTTCAATTTCAAATAAGTTAAGGTCGGCTATATGAATCCTGATAGACCATGTTACTCAATTTAAATAGCCCATGCCAGTATTATGCAAATGCATGTAAAAAATAATATAAGTTCTATATAATTTCTTAACGTATCTATATTATATTAAAAGCACGAAGGCCCTTAGTGAAACATTGTTCGCCTTTTTTACCCTTAGAAAATAGAGTTCATGCTAGACAAAATAGTCATTTAATTGTTTTCCTTATAACTAGGAGTATGAAATCAAATAAAATTTTAACTATTAAATATTTTGTTATTTTAACCATGTAAGAATCCTTACCTGCACGTACATTGGTACCTAACTTTCTTTATTATTATTTCCTTATATTTATGTTTTGCACGTACCCTAAATAGAAACAAGTTATATAAAAGAAATTTGTTTTTGAGGGACTCATTGTTTCAATGGTATTTGATGGAGTTGCATCCGTTTATTATATGATCTTTTGCGCATCTCGACCGAGTGAACCCAAGGTAATTTGCTAGAATTTATTTTTTTGTATGATGATGTAATGACCCAATCGGTCATTTTTACTTTTAGAACCTTGTTTCCCTAAATAAAACTCCTTGTATATGTTTTTATAAATTTATGACTTGCGGGGATGGTTGGTTCGGGTTTGGAAGTGTTCGGGTTGAAATCGGAACACTTGGTTCCTTAAGTTGGCCTTAAAATGTTAAATTTGACTTCGGTCAACATTTTGAGAAAACGACCCTGGAATAGAATTTTGATGATTCCAACAGCTCTGTATGGTGATTTTGGACTTAGGAGCGTATTCGAAATTTTATTTGGAAGTCCGTAGTTAAATTAGGTTTGAAATGACTAAAATAGAAATTTAAGTTTGGAAGTTTGACCAGGGAGTTGACTTTTTGATATCGGGGTCGAAATCCAGTTCCGAAAGTTTTCATAGCTCTGTTATGTCATTTATGACTTGCATGCAAAATTTGAGGTCAATCGGACTTGATTTGATATGTTCCGGCATCGTTTGTAGAAATTGAAAGTTTCAAAATTTATTAGGCTTGAATCTATGTGTGATTCGTATTTTTATTATTGTTGGATGTGTTTTGAAGACTCGACTAAGTTCGTATGATGTATTAGGACTTGTTGGTATATTTGGTTGAGGTCCTGAGGGGCTCGGGCGTGTTCCGTATGGTTAACGGATCATTTTTTGCCTTGGTGAGATAGCTGATATCTGCTGCTGCAATTTTTCTGGTTTTCTCTTTCATGTTCGCGAAGAGTGTTCTGAGCTGGTGAGATTTTTGTTCTACGCGTTCGCGGAGAAGAGTACGCGAACGCGAACACGAAGGGTAGGGCAGTGTGTGCATCGCGAACGCATGAGTGACGTCGCGTTCGCGAAGGAGAGTGAGGCAGCTGGGAAACCCAGTCTTTTGTTCTACGCGTTCACAAGGTAAGGGACGCATTCACGAAGGTCTGAGTTTGCAAAGCTTCGCATTCGCGAAGAGGAAAGTTGGGCAGCACATTTTTGTGCTTCGCGAACGCGAGGCAAGGGTCGCGTTCGCGAAGAAGAAACCACTAGACAGAATGTTTAAGTTCAGAAAATGGTCGTCCTATTTTTCATTTTTAACGATTTGGAGCTCGGATTGAGGCTATTTTTGGGAGATTTTCAGAAAAAAAAATATCGGGGTAAGTGTTATTAACTCAATCTTGGTTAGATTACCCGAATCTATCACTGTTTTTAATATTTAATTGGTGATTTAAGTTGGAAAATTTTGAAAACCCTCTTGGATAGATTTGAGGATTTGAGGGTCGAACTGTTATTGGAATTTAGTTATTTTGGTATGGTTAGACTCGTGGTTGAATGGACATTCATATTTCATAACTTTTGCCGGATTCCGAGACGTCCATTTTTGAGTTAATTTCAGATTTTTATTGCAAAATATAGTATTTTCTTATAGAATTAATTCTATAATTTTTGTTGACTGTATCGAATTAATTATGACTGGATAAGAGTCGACCGGAATCAAAAAATCGAGCAAAAAATATACTACTTGGTTAAATTGGAGCAAGTCGAGGTAAGTGACTTGTCTAACCTTGTGTGGGGGAAATTTTCCTCTAGGCTTGGTATTGATGTGATTATTGAAATGTGTTGAAAGTCGTGTACACGAGGTGATGAGTGTATACACGTGCTAAATATGAAAGATTATATTTTTAAATTGTGTAGATCACTGTTGCACATTTATTAAATTATTTTATCTTGTTATATTCTTCATCATTGATCTGAAATATATACCTTAAATTTGTTTGACCTTTTCCTGCTAATTGTTTTACCGGTTTAGTTGAAATTTGGTTTCCTTTATTCTGTGTATTATTTGAAGGTTGATTTTCTTTAAATTAAATATTATTAATATGAAGTATTTGACATTTTTAAATTTGATATTGAAGCAACGTATTAAAGATTTTGAAATATTATTTTCCTGAATTATTTATTCCTGAATATTTTTGTAAGATTTTCGTACTCATTGTGATGGAGCCGTGAGATCTTTATTATGGAAAAATATTATTGATGATTTATTTTGGCATGAGCCGTGAGCTCTTTATTGTGGAAAAATATGATTGTTGACT